AAAGTGTTAGTCCTTTATTCAGCTCAGTACCCCACCTAGTGACAACTTTCATCGGCAAGCAAAGTTTCTGGTTGTCAATGTCGTGGAATTTGACAGCTGTTATGTGGCATTTCAGCCTGTGAGTCAGACGATGTGTCCTCCGTCAAAAACGCTTTAGGTTTGCACGGCTCGCTTAATTTTGCATTTTTTTATTAATAAAAAGGCAAGGATCTCCTTTGAAATATCAACCATTCAATAATCGTCCTAGAGAACGTGTCTTTTTTCTTTCGAACATACTCCTGCATTTGTAGCTCATTTTACCCAAAATATAATGAGTTTTATCAATCCCAAAGGGGGCTCAAAGGTATCATGCAAACATAAAGAACACTTAAGGCATGCCGACTGCATAATTGCTCATAGGTTGTAAATACATTTTCTTTTTATGCACTAAAAACAGAGCGCTTAGTACATCTCTGCGCGAGATCAGGGAATTAACTTCGCTTCCGCAAGATGATATTAATCGAACCGTTCCACCAGGCGGTCCGGGATGTCGTTCTTTTACAATTCAACAGCTTCAAGGAATATGAGAAAATTGAAGACAAGTAATTTCTCTTTTGACTGAGTTTAATTCACTGATTATACACAAGTGAGCTGCAGCTCACTTGTGTATAATCAGTGACTCTCATGAGAGTCTGTAGGATCTTTACAAATAATACTTAGTAACTATTTCTCTAAAATAATCTCTGAGCTCTTTAAGAGGATTAAATTGTATCTTTATTTTCTGATGGATTCATGTCAGCGATTTTTTTCAATTTAAATGGGTTCATCTGAAAAATATAGATGTAAACGTCCCTAGTGACATTTCCCGCCGGAATCAACCGTGGAATCCGGTGCGACATGTCGAGCATTTTGAGGCCGGAATTATGCGCGATTTTGTCACCTATGTCGCGGCGGAATCTGTAGCGAAAAGTCGCGGCAGAGGGCGACCGAACGTAGGTACCTTTAGCGCAATGCGAGCGAACCCCCCACAATGAAATGAAGGCAAAGCCGGCTGATATATTATTAGAAATATGTTTTATTAGAAAAATAGTATTACAGAAATCTTTAAAAAATCTTCTGACGGTTATATCATCGTCGAAAATCGACTGGAAGAGTCTCCAGAAAAAATCTTCTATGTTCCGCTCTCCCACGCTTGAGAGGAATGCAACCTTAACGTGTAATTTAATGAGGAGCAAACGTCTTACCAGTCTTTGCCGATACAGGGGGTCCATTAGCCGCATATTTACCTCCTCAAGCTGACGAAGGCTGGCAATGGGGGCATTGAGGGGGTTGCGTGTGACAGCCTCCCCAACATCAGCGGCTGCGGCACCTCTGCCAATAGCACCTACCTCCGCCCCACGCAGGCGGCGGTGTAACCTCTGGTTACCTTTGATAAGCCAGAGTAGCTGGCGCTTTAAGAGGTTAATATCCCTCTGCATGGCACGTTGCCCCTCGGCCAATCCGTAGATAGTGGCGCGAAGGCCATGGTCGGTTGAAACTACTGTGATAGTGAAAGACGATGTAAATTACCTTGGCCGTGAAAGGTGTACGTTGAACGGACTGGCAATGTATGAGTTGATTCGTTGTCGGAATCCTGGTGTGGTTCCTCCTACGTAGTATGTAAAATAATAACCGAAAACATACCTCGAGGGTCAATGGAGGGTCATCAAGAGACCATTCTCTTGAATCGTACGGATTTCTAATATTTCTACGCGGCCGTTCATGTGTACTGTCGTCGTCGTTGCGATCCATCTACAACCACACAGGAAAACACTGTTAAGTGGCTTAATAATGTATCGGGTTGGGTTTTTCACCACTAAAAATGGTACTATGTGGTTGTAGGGTTTGGTTAGATATTTAAGCAAACCGCCGACTACATTAATGATTAAATGTTAGTTATGTGTCAATTATTTTAATCAGAACATACAAGCCATCCGCGGGAGCGCACACATATTTTGAAAAATAGCTGAGGAATTTAGCGTATTTGATAGTACTAGAAATCTGAGCTTTGTAAACATCTAACCGATGCGATTCCTCAGGGTACGTGTAGTAATCTGTAACGTTTGTAAATTCGTTATAAACTGCGTTAACTAATCCTCTCTGGTCCCGTACAATATTTTTTACCAACGTTGATGCACGGGTGCCGGCATGGACGTTTATGATGCACAACATTGGCCCCTAAACTTTGGAGTAGATTAAAAACCGATGCATTAACTTTTTCGGTCTATTTTATTGGTAATATTCTACCTGTTTCGGTCAAGTAAGGTTCGAATTTGAAATTTTCGTGCTTCTCTCGTGAAAAACAACAATAAGCAAAAACGTTTGGAGAAGACGCTCATCCGCTTGGTTTCCGTGTACGAAGAGCGAAATGATTGACATCGAATATGTTCAACGACTGGGGTCAAGAATGGTGCCCAAAGTGAGAATGCTGACATATCCGTAGCGCTGTAAAACACTGGACCTGTTTACCCTCGAATTTCGACGCTCCAGAGGCGATCAAGTCATAATGTACAAAGTGATCGTCTGCGGTGACATACTGGAGGTCACAGAGTACATCAAAGTAGCCTTTGACATGCCTACGCGAGGACAATGCTTCAAACTGGTGGTACAACGGACAAATGGCCTCCCACACGTCTACCGACTCTCAAGGCGCGCTGTGAATGCATGGAACAATCTCCCCCGCGACGTTGTTGCTGTCTACACAGTTGCCGTATTCAAGAAGAAATACGACGCCCTATTTGAAACATTATCTGTACCGTAGATGGGAGTGCCCTTGCTTTGGCGGAGGGATTGGTCTAATCTGAAAACTCCCACATGTCCGGTGCCTGCAAAGAATGGGTGTCCATGGATCCGTTCCCTACCCTCTACTGATGAAACATGAAACATGAAGGAAAGTAAAAAGCGAAAACGAATAAAGAAGTGTGCATATGCACAGTCAAAACATCTTGTTCTGCGCTTTAATATATGTTTACTCCAAAATCAATGGTATGCTCTTCGGCAGTCACAGGATCCCAAGGTTCATTTATTTAAGCAAAACGTATAAGTTACTTCCGTTGCTCAATGAAACGAAAGTTTGCAGTCAGTGGGTTTCTTGCAAACTTGATTTTTAAAACAAATTCCGAAATCTTGATAGCATTTAGGCTTACTAAAGAAACGAATGTACGAGACAAAACTACAAAGTCGCAATACACCAGATATCTGTCTCAGCTTTTAGTGTTGATTGCGTTCTTTTTGATCTTATTTTTTTGTTTTCTTAGGAGGCCTTTTGTCCACTTTTAAACTCTGCTGCATTTCTGTCCATATATCTCTGTTATTGAGGCTCACTATACCTCGTCAGATAGTATAAAGTTGTCCAATTTACCCAAACTTTTTGGCCGTCGGTTAAGTGCCATATGAATAAGTAACGTCGGTCTAATTTAAAATACGGACTATTACTTCCTAGGCAGTACACAGAAAATTTGATTGGCTTTTTTTCGTAGTCGTTGGCTATAGTAACATAGGTTTTTTGATATAATTATGATAATGGTATTGATACTCAGACAACATCTATAAAAGGTCCAGTAGGGTGAAAATTATTTAAATAGATTCTGATTTTAGTATTTTTTCTTGCTAGCCCAGATTTTACGTTGATTAGCCTTCCAAGTTTCATTTCTCTGAGAGGTTGGCACAAAAGTTCGGATTTTCCTTTCTCTCAGTCTGAGAATACAACTGGAATATTTAATATCACTCCTAATCTTACACCGCTTTAGAGCGTATTTTCCAAAGAACGTGGAAGTAACGATTTCCGACTTTGATGGAGTTCTCTACAACATCTCCCAAAAGACAAACTCAACGATACTCACTGTCAGTATTACGTTGAGATTCTTCAAAGAAATTGAAAAGTTTGGTGCATCCAAGGTGAGTCTTTTCCCGAATAGCATTAACCGAGGCAAGCAGACGAGTAATTTTAGAATATTTCAGAAGTCTTTTTACATCTTTTAATGCTGCAGGTGCTGAGCAGAGAGTACGGCTCTTTCCTGGCATCTCGTCCGGAGGGAAGCGCATCGGTAACCTTGCAAATCGACTGCGAAAAACTTCCAGACAACGTCGAGGAACTGGCGACTAAAGTTGCAATGCTACGTCGGCACTGCTTTGCCAGCGTGTTTGAACACTTTTTTGACTACCAGATGTCCAAACCTACGCAGACCCTCCAAGGCATTATCCACTTTAGGACAGATGAAACTATGTACGCGCAATTTGAGGAAAGTTTTTCTAGTCTGCCGGAGGTTTTTTATGTGCAACTGATGTTTTTAATTGCCCTTTATGCACTATTTGAATTTTGGAAGGTATAAATTTCCAAAGAATATAAGTTTAAGTCGAATACATTCTCCAGTAAATGGAATTTATTGCCTTAATTTTTGAGACTGGAACCCCAGTTCGTCACCAGACACAGAGTAAAGTAAAAGTTCTCAAAGATTTACGTTTCAAAAGGCACCCGACGCCAAACTCCCGATTCTCGACTTCCCTGTTCAACGATAGCTCGATGAGACATTACGCACTACTGTTAAGCGCAAGGAAAGGTATGCGAAAGTAATCCTAAGCTATGATAGTAATCATTTTATCCATCACAAAAGGAGTTCTGTTAGCAGTTTGTTAAATCAATCGAAAGTGCATTGTTCAGACAGAGAGTGCTATCAGATCGACCTGAATTACTCGTTCGACTTATTTTTTTCAAAACAATTAACTTCGGAAAATCGTACGTCGATGTGTGAGACAACAAGATTCAAATAAAAAAGACTCAGGTAGTAGCAATCTGACGCCCAAGCCACCTACATGGTGTAGTACT